TGCATTTAATTGCCGTATCGCAGCTGATGTATTCTTAATTAAAGATAAATGAAATAATATTAATTTTAAATGATAATTTTATACGTAATTTCAAATAATATGTTTTTCATGTAAAAGTCAGATACGAAAATTTAATTATAATTAATTTTATTTGATATCTGAAAAGTGTATGGCATTTTCATTTAGCTTTTGAAAAGCTAAAATTATTCAATGATCCTTTAATAAGTTATCTGTCGGTTGATGTACTTTATTTTTATCAACAAATTTCTTTCCAACTTGCATAATTAATAGCTCACTTATCTGAGTTTTGTTTTTTTAATAATACAAAAAAAATTACAACACGCGACCGCGTTTCACGAACTCTTAAATGGAATGCTAAATTAATGGCATATTCATTTTTAATGTTAAAAATACGAAGGATTTTACCTGTCGACGCTAACGGATGTCGATTAAATATAAAAAATTTGCATTTAAATCATTATTTAAGTATGTTCCCGACTACTCGTTCGTTAAATTTGCTCTGATCAAATTTACCCTGTTATTGCCCGTGGCTCTTTGGATAAAGTCATACATGATGCTTATTGATTTATCGAATTTCTGCAATTCCCTGAATAACAGTAATAATACTAATGGTAGCGCATACAAATTCTGCGTTATTATTATGGAAATCACCGTTGTAAGGGACTATACGAGCACATCTCCTATCGCTCAACGTAAAATCACCGCGTCCGCCGCCCACTTGTTTTCCCGGGATATTAAGTAATATTGAGCATCGTTAGAGTTGCAATGCAAAATGATGCTCACTGTTAGCGGCGTTCAGCGATTTAAAACGAGGAAACAGTGCCGGGAAACAAGAGGGGCTCCGTTTACCTCGCGATTTTCCCCGCGATATCATAACAATAATTGCACGAGAAAGGATCACAAGCGCTACTTTTTCGCAATGAATGGAAAACATTTATCTCTTATTGTGTACGCTCGAGTGAGTGTTTAATAAACTCTTAGACCACAAAAAGAATTATTTGCACTTTCTGGTTACATAAATTTTTTTGCATTAATTATTTTTAATATATAATATTTATATATGATATTTAACGTTCCGGGATATTTTGCCGGTGTCTTTTTAATTTTCATTTACGTTTCGGGAGCGGCAGGATCGACGTCGACTTATGTATATGCATATGACAAGCGTCACAAACGGAACAAGTGGCTAAATGAAGGACTCAATAATGGAAACGTGAATAATGTATCCCTTAATGTATTTGAGACGAGTCGACATTATGGTGAAGATTTTAAGTGGAAGACTAATTACTGGCAGAACGACATCCCTTCGCGGTTGGTTAGCAGTCGGGGAGAATAAAAATGAGTCGAAACTTCTTCTTCCCGGATTAACTTCAAATGGACTTGAATCGAAAATTTATTTGCTTTCGTAAATTATTATTTCCATTCCGCTCTTCGGAGCTGATACCATTATTCAGGCTTGACAGATAATGATTGACGGAATCGATGAATAATGATCCGATTGTTGCGATGCGCCGCTTCGTATGGTCGTATATACGAATAAATAATAACTAACGTCGTTCTGGTTATCGTTGCGGAATAAAAGTCGCATCGTCTCGTGTCGACTGAAAATAACTAGCGCCGATGATCAATCAATCGTTTGCCTCGGGTAAACATTCGGGTGAGCATCGATGTAATAGGAATAGCACTCGATCGATCTTGTTGCTGCTCGAACGATTCGGAGGGTTATAAATATCCGCCCGATATTCCGCCGGGCGGAAAAGTCCGGTAAATAAAAGCAGTGGTGGAAGCAACCCCGACGTCATTATTTCGTTTACCGAGACTACTCTTTCGATTACGATCGTAATTGCAACAACGTATACACAAGCGCGAAATCTTGTATTTCATTTTACACGTGTGTATTTACGTGCGTATTACGTGTGTATTTACGTATTTACGTTTCCTCGAGAAATACGTCGTATTTTTCTTCTCGTCACATCTCGTTACGAAAATATATACGAGGCGAGGCAGGGTGATATTTTTCGCACGATTGTCAGATCAGTTTACCGCAACGTTACACCAAAATATCGCACCGCCGTGCCGCATGCCGGTGTATTTTCGCGGATAATGAGTGTGATTAGAACAAACGCGGATTAAGTACGTAATTGGATCGTCTGCAAGCTTATTAAAACCATTTCGACAGTTAAAATAGCGGTAACTCGATAACGATCACGTTTGCAGGAGTAATGCAGATTAATTTATCCGGGCTTTAAGCTTCCATGCTCGTTAGCATTACGTTCCGTAAGTTTAGCATTCGCCCGTTGTTCCGCCATGCTGGCTTACGCATCGCCAACCTGAATCGCGCTAACTCCGCAGTAAAATTCCTCGCCGACGTAAAACGCCGTTGTCTGGCTGTTGCGTGTGACGCGTGGAATAATGTAATAACGTAGAGATGTTGATAAAGAAAATATTTAAACGCGTAAGAATGTGCCCGCGTGTGCGTGTGTGTGAAAGGCCCTAATGGACGTGTTTCTGCATGTCACTTACTTCGTGCCCTAATGAAAAAGTACGGGAACGCTTTTAATAAATTATATACGGTTTTCAGGCTAGTTAACGTCGATATATCAAAAAGCGGGGGAATGTTAGTATAATAAAAATCAATAATGCGTTTTAAAACTCCTAATGAATATTCTGTAATGAATATTGAAACGTGACGGCTAATAAGATATTTAAAAATTTATTTCCATACCATTTCGATTGGTAAACGCCAGCTAATTTAATTTGATGTGACTTATTCAAAACATCGGGTTTTTAGCAAAAAGCGCCTTTCATCCTTCATTAATTTAAGTAATTTATTTATTAACTATGTACATGGGATATTTTATTTAAAAAAGGTATTTCGATCAAGGCCTTTTTTTTTTTCACTTTCTTTATCGACAGCCTGAGGAAGTTTATAAATGCTTTTTTTTATTACTCTACGTAATAATGCGCCGCGATATAATAATACGATGTAATAATGCGCCGCGACTCGACTCGCACGCGAGATAAAACTGATGTTACGTAAAATGAAATTAAAACAGAAGTGCGGGAGACGTTCTTCGGCGGAATAATTAATTCTACCGCGGGCGAGCATAATTAATACCAATTTCGCTAATAGATCATTCCCTCCCCCTGGGGAAGCCTCCTGAGTTCTACTATCGTCGCATGCCTCAACGACGATTTCTTCGTAATACGAATTAAAGCGATCTGCGGAAATTATAAAGAAAGCCGCACGCTATTCGAACACACGCGAACACCCGCTCGTTCGTCGTACCTCCATTTACATTCGTGACAAAACGTGACGGCGGCGCGTAATGCATGTAATGTGAATGCACGTTCATGAATACAAATGAAAATTCTATAATATCGAGATATTTAAATAAGCAGAATATCCTAAAATTATTATATACTCTGCGTAATAGCAAAATACTTTCAACTCGCTTTGTCGCATGAAGCTCCTTTTTCTCCTCCTGGCGTCGCCAAAAGGTCGCGTAAAAAAGTCATTTGTGAAATATGAGGTGCACACGCACGGGACAACAATGTACGCGGAAAAGTATAATTATGGACTCGTGGAATGTGAAATCGATGAAGGTCCGTTCGCATGCGATACTCGCCAGATCCTCTCCGGTCGAGCGGTTCCGGACGGGGGCCTACAATTAGTTTTACCCGAATCCTCGAATTTCTCGTATCACACTCGGGTGCGCAACGCAGGCACACGCAACCGCATGCCATGCGGTAAGCTGTGCGCGTGCACGCACAAAAGCGCATGTTTCGCACACACAAAGGTGCATCCATCACACACGCGCATATACACACCCGACCGACACACAACACGGGTAAGGTAGCTTGTCAGACAGGTATTATATGTAATGCCGCGGTCGTGGTGTCGTCGGGTTAAAACTACATCGTGACTCTCCCGGCTGCTCTTCTCTCTTTGTTCTTTCCGTCCTCTCTCTCTCTC